ACTTACTTACTTACTTACTTACTTACTTATGTACTTATTTACTTATTACTAACTTACTTACTGACTTACTTACTTATTTACTTACTTGTTTACTTACTGACTTACTGAATTATTTATTTATTTATTTATTAAAAACAGGCAACATCCAAAAGCTGCCCAAATACCAGCGTGTTTCTTAGTGACTTGGTGTAAAATGTCACCTTGTAACTGAGTGGGCGCTCCATATATGGGCGTCATTTCCTGTCCTTTCGAACTGAGACGGCTCAGTTTTATTATTTTTTTCCTGAATTTTCTCTGCGTCTGTGTTTTCAGAAGCGGCGTTCAGGGCGACAGGTCAAACGCAGGAAGTACAACGAGGACCTGGACTTCAAGGTGGTGGACGACGACGGGGAGACGATCGCCGTTCTGGGAGCCGGACGCATCTCGGCGCTCAACGCCACGGCTCTGGCGTGGCAGGCTGAAGTAAGAGTTTTCACAGTTTTGGTTTGTTAACTTTGCGTTCCTTTTAAAGAAATGTATTATTTATTTAATGATCTTTGCTGAAGCTGGTTGGATTCATTTTTTTTTTTAAATTTTGCTGCCGTTTGAGCTCAAACCGTCTGAACTGACCCGTCGACCCGTTTCTGTTTCCCAGGAACCTCCGGAGGATGAGGCCAACATCATCGAGAAAATTCTGTCCGTCAGAAAATTAAAGAAGGAGGTAAAGAAAACAAATATTTTCCCTCTGGGTTATAAATGTGTGTAACTTTGTTCTTACGGAGGTTCATTCTTCAGGCTTCAGAGGACCAATCAGACGACGCCGAGGAGTTTTATGTCAAATACAGGAACTTGTGAGTATTTTTGCTTTTATTTTGATCCTGTAATTTAAATAAAATCATGTATATTTTAGTTTTTATCACTTTGTTTCCACTCCTGCTGCTTTAAATGTGATGAAAAATCTCAACTGAATGGATTTAAACACTTTAATTGTTCATAAGGTTTTATTTTATTATTATCTTTAGATTATAAAATCAGAGAAAACAATTTATAAAACCACATTTATAGATAATAAAATAAAAAATACAGGTGGTTTAATGCATGTTTTAGCAACCAAGGTAACATTTGTTTAGCTGCTTTTCAATAATGGTTACTAATTTATTGTTTATCTCTAAAAAGACATTTTTGTTGTGTCGACCCGGTCAGCATGATTCAGTCCTTTTTATGATGCAGAAAAAAACAAAATAAATCTGCAGATTATAGGTGAGTCCATGTTGAGCTGGTTGATTTGTTTAATTTCTGTCTTTTTAACTGTTTTAAAAAGGAAAGATTTTAAGACTGAAAATGTTCACTTTTCACATCCTTTCAAAATAAAATCTAAATAATTTTATTGTCTTTCCAATACGGGCAAAACTAAAAGTGTAAATAAAATAAATGTAGGTGGGCGATAATAAAAATAGATTCATTAATAAAATACATTTTTTATATTTATTTTGAAAAATCAGAAACAACAGGAAACTTATCAAAATAAAATAACTTTTTGGTTCATCTTATTGAAACCATTTTCAGGAACAAAAAGACCTCATGTGAGTTTTTGTTTTTTAGTTCCTATCTGCACTGTAAGTGGGCCTCTTTGGAAGAACTGGAGAAGGATCCCAGAATCCACCAGAAGATTAAACGCTTCAGGACCAAACAGGCTCAGATGAAACATCTGTTCACCGAGGTAAACGGGTAAAACCGGGCCCAGGTTCTGGTTCTGAGAGCCCACAGAGCGTCACAGTTTGTGTAGCTGCAGACGGGTCTGAGGTCCGATCCACCCGAGTGTTTTAACGAATGTGAGACTCAGCAAGTTTTTTTTTTTTTAATTAGTTTCTGCTTCTTTCAGCCCGACGAGGACTTATTTAATCCAGATTATGTGGAGGTGGATCGGGTCCTGGAGGTGGCTGTTACCACAGACACAGAGACCGGAGAGGTCCGTAATCCAGTTCTGTTTGCTTTGAGATGAGACACACACACACACACACACACACACACACACACACACA